CCCCCATTAGACCAGAAACCAGAGACCCCCATCAGCCTGTAGACCTGAAGACCCCATCAGACCAGAGACCAGACCAGAGACCCCCATCGGCCTGTAGACCCACTTTAAACTGCTGATTGGACACACCGCTGGTTCATCCCTTAAGTTAGGGGCCTTTTTCTGACTCAATAAAGATAAATCTGGACTAAAAATGAGTGAAAAAGTAGAAAACATCCAAACAAAAACATCCTCTCGGGGGGTTGGTGGTTCCAAACCTTCCCAGCTTTACCTTTGTAGATGAACATGAGGACCTCTGCCAGGAAGAAGGCAGCAAAGTACCAGCTGTTGAGGTGCAGCAGCACCTGCAGGGGGGGGGAGGAGAGGACGGGCTGGCTGCCTGCACACAGGAACCAGGGGAGAGACTTAGAATATGTCCAGGTTCATTCAAAAGAGCTAGAAGATGAGAGCACATCGAAATATATACAGAGATATATGTAAATATATATATATAAATGGTCGACACTGTATGTGAATTATTCTATTAGATCCAGAAAAATTATTCTCCATTCTTCCTCATTTGATTAAGAGAGAATAGAGACTTTAACAGCTTTATCAAACGGCCAACTATTAGGTTTTCTTCCCTTCATCGATCATTTATCGGGGCTAAGGATGGCGGTTATCCCCGTTATCATTCAGCTAATTCCTGGACCGGAAACTGTGACCTTACGCTTCATTTCGAGCTGTTTACCGGATAAAAGTTTGAAATGCTGCGACGGATAAACACTCGGCAGCGTTTCCACTGATTTATCTGAGAAACAACAACACGAAACTCACCAGGCGCCATGTTTGATTCCCTCTGGTTGCCCTGGAAACGGCGTCTCCAACCGGAAGTTGGATTCTTCTTCTACGGAATTCTTTATTTTGCTGCCCCCAGTCCGTGAAAGACCAATGTATGAGATAAATATTCATAAAACAACAATTAATTCTTGTAGAAAAGGGACTGTGATTCCCCTAGTTTTGAAACACACTTTCCTTCAATTATCTGCTCTAAAATCGGATCCATTTACATTGGTTTTCATGTAAATTTGAATGAGTTGCATTTGTCTTTCAATATATAACCTTTTTATCATATATTTAGAGTTATTGCTGCATATTCACAGTCAGTCTGTAACTTAAAAGTGTTGCTATTTGTTTTTTTTTATAAAGTTTTCTTTGTTTAGCTGCGAAACCGGTTTGAAACTTCGCCGTTTCTGGCGACCGAGCAGGAAAACACTCCAACTCCCAGCATGCACCTGCGGGGCGCTGATTGGTCTGATTGGTGCGAGGGTTTACGTGGCACTGTGCTGCCGCGCAGCCGCAGTTTGACCTCTGCCCCGGCAGGAAGATGGTGTCTGTCAGGTTCAGGATGCAGCCGCGCTGGTTTTCAGTTTTGCTCCTGAACGTTTTGTACACCTGCGTTTCTTCGTTGTACTTCCATATCGGAGAGACGGAGAAGAAATGCTTTATAGAGGAAATCCCGGACGAGACGATGATTATTGGTGAGTCACGGCGGCGTTTGCTAAAGCTAAGCTAGCTCCTCAACTTCAGCTAGTTAGCTAGTCGGTTAGCTCAACTTGTCTGTCCTGTTGGAAAGTCGACTCAGGAAGCCTCGTTACGACTCTGAGAGCTCACCGGGCTTTAGATTTGTCAGGTATTGATTTGTCTGACTTTTTCATTCAAATATATCTGCTTTTGGAGCTTTTTGAAACATGCCAGTCTGTTTTGTGACCTGATGAGCTCAGTTTCCGGTGATATTTGAGCTTTTCTATCCTTGTTTTCAGGACTTTTTTCTGGCTCTTCTGTTCATCACAAGCCATTAATTCACACAAGCCATGAGCAGAAAGTCTGAAAGAAGTTTGTTCTCTAGACTACTCCTACGTTGACTTCTGATTCATTGTTCATTCATTCATATTTATCTCATAAGTGTAGCTATTATGTTAAATGTATAACGGGCTGCCCTTTTCTTTCTTTTCTTGCATTTGGACTGTTTGTGTTTCGGTTGATTTGCAGGTTAAATGGACTTTAAAATGTCCCCTTTCTTCATACTCCCTAATCTAAAGCTTTCACAAATCAGAGACAAGGTTAAAATGAATCTACGGCTGATTTACAACAGTTGCGTTTATCTGTTTGTTTATCTGTTTGTTTATCTGTTTGTTTATCTGTTTGTTTGCAGGGAACTACCGGACCCAGCTGTACGATAAGCAGAAAGAGGAGTACCTGCCGGCCACTCAGGGTCTGGGCATGTTTGTGGAAGTGAAGGACCCCGACGATAAGGTAAACACACACATAAACAACACACACGACCTTCTGGAGCAGCCTTGGTTTGATCATGTGACCCAGACTCTGGTCTTTGTAGATGTTTTTACCTCTGTTCAACCCAAACTTTCTGATCTCTCCTTGTTTTTCCTGGAAGCTTGTCCCTGGTTTTATTTTATCAGATACTTCTTCATGTAGTTTAACAAAGCAAAATTTAAGTTTAATGTCTCTAGAAGACTATCAGAGTGTCTTTCCTTCTTCAGAAACCTTTTTGAAGACCCAAGTCTTCCAGAGTGTCTCTGGTCCTAAAGCTCTAAAGTCTCTTATTTCCTGGTAGCATGCATGTAGCATAAATGCTAGCTGTGGAACCTGTGTTCTAGCTGGATGTTAAAGCCTTGATAGATTATTAGTTTTTGTGTTTCTGGTCTAATTTTGTTATTTATTTGGTTAGTTTTATGTTACTGGGTTTATTTAGTTCTTTTTTGTGTTCCTGAAGTATTTTTTATTTTATTTTGTTGTTAGTTTTTAAGTGTTTGGTCCAATATTATCATTTTTGGGTTGGTTCTTGTATTGTGTCCTTTTGGTGTTCAGTTCTCATGTTTCTGGTTTAATTTTTCTTCTTCTGGGTTAATTTTGTGTTTCTGGTCTAATAATGTCCTCTTCTTAAAGGCTTAAACCCCTGTTAAACCCCCTTTTGAGGGTCTCTGTGGCTAAAACGAGCTCCGTGTGTCCTGCAGGTGATCCTGTCCCGGCAGTACGGCTCTGAGGGCCGCTTCACCTTCACCTCTCACACGCCGGGCGAGCACCAGATCTGCCTCCACTCCAACTCCTCCAAGTTCTCCCTGTTCGCCGGCGGCATGCTGGTGAGGGAAGCCCCGGCCGAGGCCCCCCCCCCAGGGTCCTAGCACCCCCAGCTGACCCCCACTGACCCCCCTCCTCCATCTGTCTGTTGCAGAGGGTTCACCTGGACATCCAGGTGGGAGAACACGCCAACAACTACGCGGAGATCGCCGCCAAAGACAAACTGACGGAGCTGCAGCTGAGAGTCCGGCAGCTGGCGGAGCAGGTGGACCAGATCCAGAAGGAGCAGAACTACCAGAGGGTCAGTCAGGGGCCAGAGGTCAACACAGGGGGCTGCCTCAGGCTATAAGAACTGTCCCAAAAAAAGGACAAAGTTGGACCAGACACACAAAAAAAGAACCAAATTAGATCAGAAACAGAAAATTAACCCCCCTAAAGAACAAAATTAGACCAGAAACATAAGAACTATCCAAATAAAAGGACAAAATTTTACCAGAAACACAAAAAAAACACCAAAAAAAGAACCAAATTAGACCAGGAACACAAAATGAATCCCCAA